AATGCGGAAATTAGGGTTTTGCACGGAGGAGAGACAGTTAAGTGGTTGTCGTTGCTTTGCGTAACTTTAGTTTGGTGTTTTGGACCGTATTTTTCTGGCATTTACCAACTCAACTTGTCTTCTTTTTTTCCCCTAATTATTAGTTCTTTTTAATAAATATTTTCAGATATCAATACAATGGTGAATATACCGATAATGATGTTGTATCGGATTTGCCAAGTGTTTTTTTATTTCTTCTTATCATTTCAAATTCGCTTGTCATAAAATCAGAAAAAAAAAACAAATGCTCTAAAATTCGCTTATCATTTCTCTTATATACTTTGTCGAAAACTGTATATAAAGCCCAATATATTTTGTCAGTTATAAAGCCCAATCATTCATATACAAGAAGAATAAATAACTATTAAAATATCATTCTATTAAAAAAAAAAAGAAAAAATTATTGAGAAAATATTCAATATTGAGTCAAACCCAAAAATCATTCTATTAAAAAAAAAAAAGATTAATGTAACACGAAAACGAGCTTGGGCACCAAGAAAAAATAAAATTATTTTGGCTCTTCACCAAGAAAAAGATTCTATAGGAGAAAAGTTCGGATTAATTCGTATTAAAAAAAAAAAAAAGGTCTAAGCGATTCTCAGGAAAATCTTTTGGTATGAATTGAAAATTTTTCTTTAAAGAAACAGAGAAAGAACAAAATTTCAATGCTTCCTTGTCGCCGTCTTCTTCTTTCTGGTGCGAATCAAGCTGCTAATTTTCTCCGAAGGTTAGTCTCATGTTCTTAAACCCCTCATAAACCCTAATTTATACTCTTCTCTTGTCTGTATTTTGAATTGCTTTTTGGGGTTTCATGTAGAATCTGCGGGAAAAAACCGTTCTTTGATGGAAATTTTGATTCTGATGTGAATGTTTCTTGGTGGGTTTTCTTCTAATGTATCAAATTGAAGTTTTTATTACCAAAGTCTCGATCTTTGAACATTAGATTGAATCGAAGCAGTGTGATTCATCTTCAATTTTGAAAATTTGTTAGGTCTGGACCATCTAGACGAATCCAATCGTTCAATTACAGTAAATCAACAAGACAAAGCCATGGAAGAGGAGAGCTTAACACTCAATTGCCTATAGGAACTCAAG